ATGAGTAACCCCTCCCAAATACCATGCCCTCCCTCCCCGTTTCATGGAAACCGAAGCGATAGCAAAGCAGAGGCTGACAACTGCACTCTAACAACTGCGCCACCTCTGCTCTTTGGTATATATCAAAGAGCTGAAGTGGTGCAAATATTGATATCTGCTAATATCTTGTCCTCTGTAGGAATTTTTTAAGACACTTAAATCCTATGAATATCATAGAAGCTTAGAAAATACCTTGGATGTCCAGCTCCCTGTTCAGGATAGGAATCCTCATATAATCCCAGACAAAGGGCAGCCCAATGTTTGTCTGGAAGCCTTGGAATTTATGCTTGTCTAGCAACCCAACTGATTATTCTGTCTCTACTCTTTAGCCATATGCACCATTTTCAGCCAGATTAGGAAAACATTAACTATGTTAAGATGGGTTAATAAAGAAGATTAATATTTCGGAGGTCAAATCTATGAGGAAACCTTGAACTTAAAGAAAGGATAATTAGGTTATGGTGTAATAACTATTTTCTGATTTTTGAATGGAGGATCTTTGTTTTCTTTCCCTTCAAAGTTAGGTCATAAATTTGTAGCTCAAATATGAAGAAAGCACTAAAAATTATAGACGTTGTGAGAAGTTCTATATCCAAATTTATTTTATTCTTTATACTGCTTCCATCTTTCCTTAACACTTTAACAGAATCCACAATCTTCTTGAGAATCGTCTGTAATTTGCTGTAATGTCCGTAATGTTATATGACCAAAAAAGAAAGAAAAAAAATCCAAACTAGTAATCATATTATGCTTATTAATCATTATTTCCCCCCTTTTAAAGGCTTTCTGTGCCAAGCTTATGTCAGTGAAGAACAAACTAGAAGAAAAGATGGATTGCAGCAATATTGACAGAATGGGTAAAAATAAATTGGAAGCTTAAAATTTATGGGAATTCTTGGTTTAATTAAGTTCAATGACCTGAAATAGATTCTTTGTCAAGACCCTGTCCAATGATTGAAACATTAAAAGCGGGGAGCCCAACAACTTTGAACTGAACAATTTTATTGACAGTGATTCATGGTTTAGTATATCCCATTTACTCATCATCAATGTCATTATTTTGGACTATGGTGGTGATCCTGTGCTTGTAAACGCTGGGTTTTGGTTTAATATGGAATGTGAACCCCGCTAACTGTAGCTTAGTCAGCAACCAATGGTTTTAAGAAGTTGTGGATTGGTGTGCTGTGAGAATCCAGCCATAGAAGGAGAAGCTGAAAGGTGGGTGAGATAAAAGTAGGGCCAGGGGAAATTAGTCAAGATAGGTGGAGGAAGCATTTCAGAGAGGGGGGATTTCCTCTAGATTTTAAAAGCTGGAAAACCTTAAAAACTCTCAATTCTTAATCTTTCATAATCTTGTCTAAAAAGCAAGATTTTTTCCAGTAAAAGTTCCTGGGTAAGCATGCCTTTAAAAATTGCAGAAATTATACAATATTTGAATAAACCAGTGGTGGTTTTTTTTTTTTTACTACTGGTTCTGTGGGCGTGGCTTGGTGGGCATGGCATGGGAAAGATATTGTAAAATCTCTTTTCTCTCCTGATCAGCTGTGACTTGGGGGGCAGAGAATAGATGGGGGCCAGTCAGAGGTGGTATTTATTGGTTTTCTGAACTACTCAAAATGTCCACTACCAGTTTTCCAGAACCATATTAAACATCTCAAAATTATAATGACACACCGCTTCATATACTGCCTGTTCTTTAAACCTTTTACTTGTTTTTGAGAATTTCATCTATTTTATCTATTCTAAAGGTTTCATTTCCCTCCTTTTTCCTCCCTACATCTGTTTTGCAATTTGATCCTTAATCATTCTCTCTTTATGACCAAATTATCTCAATGTTCTGGTCATTCTGATTCCTTTTTGATTCTCTAGATGGTCATCACTTTTTTGGAACACTCTAGTCTTATTCCTAACCATCCTTTCATGTCACCTACCAGCATAATTTCCCCCCTGAATTGCATCTGTTTGAATACAATCATTCAGCAGTGCAAATCTTTCTTTCTTTCTTTTAAGCAGAGCTGCAAACTGATGTCCAAGCCAATTCAGGTTTTGAAAGAAATGGTCCTTTTGTGGAACTGATAGGACGCAGCCATGATATTTTGGAGAAAGCAGGACAGTGGCTCAGAGATATCATATTGGTTGAGGAAACTGGACGGATTGTTATAAGAAACCATAACATTTTAAACCTGCGCAGTGTCCAGCCTCTTGAACTGTCTCATCTCCAGCAGCATTTTGGCATTACCATCCTGGAGAGTGTAAGTGGAGCAGGGACAGCCCTAGAAATTGAAGGGTCTCCCCGAGCTGTGATTGATGCAGTCTTTGCAATTGAATTCATGCTGCAGTCTACAGCCAAGCAAGAACCTCTTAAGATAGACGGTACGTAGAGTTGTATAAGTATACTCCATCGATAACCAATATTAATCTCACCTTTAACGATTGAATAATTCACTGAAAAATCTTGGTTTAATTAACTTTTTAAAGGCAGGCTTCCAGTCTTTAGAAACAGCAGTTTTAGAAATTTATGTACTCTTCATTGAACTTAAAAGGAGTTTTGTTTTAGCATCTCACTCTGAATTGCCTAATGCATGCTAAAAAGAGCAACAGTGGACAAAATTGCACAGACATAATTGCAGCTTTAAATTGTATATCATGACTTTATCTTCTAATGTAGAAAGTAATAGAAATTAACTATTTTTTCCTTATTTCATCTTAGAAATATCCCTAGTCAGAAATACCAAATAGAAGTATTTAAAATGGTTTTCTTGTTTGAATGTGCATATAGGGTGGGGGATGTACATATACTCTCAATTTTTATTCTCTTAATCCCTACAGTTGCTGTTGGTGTTAGGTTTGGTTTATTTATTTATTTATTTATTTATATGTATTTTTATTATCTTTTTATGTTAGCACAAAATTTTTAGAGCACATTATAGCAGAGCATTATTCTATTTTCCCCCTTTTATAGAACAAATGGAATTAATCATCCCATTCCTTTCAAGTTTTCAGTTTATTTTCAGTCTGGTTTAAATCTTGGTTAAATTTTTATCTTGGTTTAAATCTTGGTTAAATTTTTATTAAGCAGTGTATTATTTGCATTCAGGATCTTTGGAGAGCCATCTTCATCAGGAAGGTGATCTGGAGACGGCAAACAGATGCTTATATCAAATCACTCCAATAGAATCTTACCTTCAAGAATTTAAGGACAAAGAAAAACAGCTTGAAAAAGCCGGCCTCCAGGTTCTAAAGGTGAATGACAAAATAATGCTAGGCAATGGTGGGATTCATTTTTTTTAACTACCGGTTCTGAGGGCTTGGCTTGTGGGTGTGGCGTGGCTTGGTGGGCATGGCAGGGGAAGGATACTGTAAAATCTCCATTCCCTCCCAATCAGCTGGGACTCAAGAGGCAGAGAATAGATGCGGGCGGGGGGTGGTGGTCTAGTCAGAGGTGGTATTTACCGGTTCTCCAAACTACTCAAAATTTCCACTGCTGATACTTCAGAACTGGTCAGAACCTGCTGAATACCACATCTGATGCTAGGAGATGATTGTGTTGCGTTATAGATGTATCAAATTAGCCAAAACATAAACAAGATTGAAATCAATCTAATGATTGACAGGGTTTCATAGATACAAATTCTCTGGATAACCCAAACTGCAAGTTAAACTGGACATCAACTGGTTGCCACTTCTCCCTTTCTTTGAAGCAGCTGACTGTTCAATGCTAACAATGTCAGCTTTGGATCTCGGGTTAGCCTTCCACGAAGGGGAAAAAAATTATTTAATCCATCTGAGGAATTTAAAGTTAATTCATCTGGCTTGTTGATTTCCCATCTTGCAGCCCCAAACCTGATCTTCCATACAGCTCTGGAGGGGTCCCAGAGCTTTTATGGAGTCATATTGGTCTGTAGGAGTTAGGATAACTTGCTTTCTTCTCCCTTCCATTATCAGGAGCATCTTATAAACTGAGGATTCCCTCCTCATGGAAACTTGGAAACTAATTGTAAACCTGATGCAACTGTAGTGTGTGTGTGTGTGTGTGTGTGTGTTTAATCAAACACCAGCCTTGGAAGGAATAGAAAATGTATCATTCAGAGGAAATCATAAGATGATGTCAATCTCCTATAAATCATGAGCTCAAGCTAGTTTTCAGAAGAGGCTACAGAATTCCAAAATATGTATCTAAATAAACCTAATAGTTATGACAAATCTGGAAAAGGATAACAACTAACAAACAATGACCTAATTCCTATTATGAATGGAAAAATAGAGACGCTTAACATTTTACACAAAACAAATCCATATTCTGGAACAAAATGTTGATTGAACATTGATTCATTTGTACAGAAAACAGATAATCCTGGAATGAGATGTTTCTTTGATTCAAATACCTGGATTTACTCCAGGATCCTGGAGACACATACCAGTCAGTATATGGGAGGAAAGTTTTGCTGGAATAGGCAGTTTCTGCTGGTTGGCAGGTGAATTACACTCATAGTAATTATGCTACTGGTAATAAACAGGGCACATCCTTACTGTTTATTACAGATAGAGAAAATACATAACCCTCTTTTAGAATCTGCTTTCCAAAGGGTAAAAAGGAAAATAGAAGGAAGAAATACTGGAATGCCTGTATGTCATAGATTGTACCATCATGTCCCAGCTCAGTATTGTAGCCTGGTATGCAAAACTGGATTTCAGAAAACTTACTCCTCATCACAAGGTAAACCACATACATTACAGTAATGCTGTAGGAAACCTAGAATATTTTTCAACATGTTAAATGCTCTATTCATGTGCAAATTGAATATCTTTGAAACAACAAGTCTTAAAGGTTAATATTTTACAACTGGTATTTAATTTTTAATTTCTATACTGGTGGGAAACAAGACTGGGTTTTTAATTCTTAAGTGTAAGGAACCCAAACTAATAAACTTCTCAGGAATTCTAGTGTAAAAGGTTCCCAGAAAGATTAGAGAAGGGAACCAAGAATTCAGCCTCAAACATAATAGCTGATTCCCCACTGCAGACCATATATCTATCTCCCAGAATATATAAACTCTAGGCTTCTACCTCTTGCCCATTTGAATTAACAGATTAGCTTGTTTGTTGACTGTGGTAAACCAAAATACAATTACATAATACCTCCCCTCCTAGCCTGAGAATTAATGGGGCCCACCTCTCCAACCTCAGCTTTAATTAAGATAAAGGTAAAGGTTCCCCTCACACATGTGCTAGTCATTCCCAACTCTAGGGGGCGGTGCTCATCTCCGTTTCAAAGCCGAAGAGCCAGCGCTGTCCAAAGACAGCTCCGTGGTCATGTGGCTGGCATGACTAAATGCCGAAGATGCACAAAACGCTGTTACCAAAGCTATTTTTCTACTTGTATTTTTACATGCTTTCGAACTGCTAGATTGGCAGAACTGGGACAAGTAACGGGAGCTCACTCCGTTACGCGGCACTAGGGATTTGAACTGCTGAACTGCTGACCTTTCTGATCAACAAGCTCAGTGTCTTAGCCACTGAGCCACTGCGTCCCCTTGCAGCTTTAATTACTCTAGTTCTAATTGTTGTGTGTGATTATTTTAGTGGTTATTTTCAGCATGGTTCGTAAGTTGTTTACTGCAGTCAAATTAGTCGTCATGATTTTACCTAGTATATGGTTGAAAGACGAAAGTTACTGCAGTCAGCTACTCATTTATATTGCTATAATAAAAAATATAGTAAAACAGCCTGCATTTTGTATTGTTTTTCAGATCAGAAATATGGAACTGGCATATATTTTAAAAAGAACCCCCGGAAACTTATAGCAGATACCAGAGAAAAATGTGAAATGGACCATTTGATCTGTGTGTTTGAAGCAGAAGTTGTAACAGGGTCGTACACAAGGGGCAATCGGAGTTATGTAGCGCCACCATTAATTAACACAAGCAGTATGAAACTCTACGATAGTGTGGTTGATGATATTCATAACCCTGAAATTTTTGTCATTTTTAATAAGGAACAAGCTCTACCACTGTACTTATTGACATGTTCTCTGCTTTGGAGCCCTGATCAGAAGGCAAATTTGGAACCGTCATCCTAGAATATCTGAAGCCTTAATGCTAATTAAAACACGGACACTATCGTAGTTCTGTGTTAGATTAGGTAATAAACATATGGCAGTTCTGTAATGCAATGAAAAAAGAAATCCCTGCAACATTACATTCTTGAAGTCTCCTTATTCTTTAATGTTATTTCAAAAAAAGATAGTTAAAACCATGCTGTTTCTATTTAAAGCAGAACTGCTGCAACCACAAGTCCTTATATTAAAGTATTAATTTTAAGCCATCTGAACAGTGGGGGGGGGGAAGGTTTTTTTTCACAAAAACGGGCCTGTTAGTAAAAAAAAAAAAAAAAAAGAGCATGCATAGCCTTTAGGAGGCTTGTAGAGTGCTCCTGAGGGCGGGCGGTGGGGGGAGGAATGAGCAAAAACTGGTCCATTTTTCACTCATTTTTGCTCACCCTAGCTCCCAGAAGCACTCTGGAAGCCTACTAAAGGCTATGCACAGCCATTTTTGCAAAGGCGGCAGGGTTTCGGGAGGCCAAAAATGCTGTATTCAGTGTATATGATGCACTGAGATTTTCACCCTTTATTGGGGGGAAAATGTGCATTTAATACTCCAAAAATATGGTACCTAGTAGATCTCAGGTTACTTTCTACCCTTTTGTTATCTACAAAGGACAGTGGTCTTAGAAGAAGCATTTGCATCTTAAGATTCAGGGGTTGTTTTGGACTGTTCGGATAAAATTTAGCATATACTAAGTTGTAAGGCCACATGCCTGATGTCTCAACTTGTCTATTAAACAATTGTACTCATTTAAAAACTGATTTCCCTCACAGTGTAAGAAGCTGGTGTCAGAGTTCATCTCCTGCTGTCTTGGGAAGCTGAGTGATATTACAAGCATCCTTTTGACAATCTATATTAAGCAGATGTTATTTAAGTTTGACTCTTGCTTGCTCATAGTCCAAAGATATTAAGGGAAAATCCTAAAATAAAGTGTTATAAACTGCTTGCTTCCACCCACTTCGAGATCTGTCCTCTAATGCTTCCCATATTCTAGTCTCTTTCCTCATTCCAACCCAGCCCCCATGAGCCACTAAACTCACTAAACACACACACACACACACACACCTTTCTTAAACACAAATGTTTTGTAGAATATAGCTTTTCTCTAGACAATTTCCTAAAATTAGTCTCTTATAAATTCAGAAATTCTAAACCAGAATTCCAAGTAATTTTATATTTATATAAAGGTACAATCAGTACAGGGTGAAATAACCTACAATTCTATAATGGGACTTTGCTTCTTCTCAGCATTCCCATGTTTTCGGGAAGTTTTAACTTTTTAGAGCAGATTTGTGGAGAGTGAAACATTCAGTTAATGAATGCTAGTCAGTTAGGAATAAAAAGGACTCAACTGTGTTTTTTATATTTATATTTTATACAGTGTTACTTTGGTATTCAACTCTTTGAAACTCATTGAATTTGGTACACAACACATTTTGAGGTGAAAAACTTGTCCCAGTAGTCATCGTTTGTTTAGTATAACCTAGAACTTGTCAATGTCAGCTGCCTTGTGACTCACTATTATTGTTCCTTATGGGAAAAATTGTTTGGTACTCATCATTTTTGGTGCTTATCATGCCACCCGGAACCAATTAACAATGAGAACTGAGGTACCACAGCATATAAAATATAAATACTTAAGAACTAATATATTACTATCAGCATATGTGGAGTTCGATTGCTCAATAAAATATTGAACATTCAGAAACAAGATTTGAAATTTGAAATAGACTATAAGAACAACTTCCATCTGCAATGCTATAAAGTTTTAAAAAAATGCTATTTAGCTTAGTATTCTTAAACCAGTATTGTTTTTCTTTTAAGAGTCTGTGAAGGTCCAAACAAATATCAAGAGTTAGTTTTAAATGCTACTCACAATCCAACAAAGAGTTAGAGCTCCACAAGCCTACATAATTGATGTATTTGTTTACATCAATATTTAGAGATATACATATAGACCATTCCGTAACACTAAACATAAACATTCTCTTTTTCCTTTAGATTTCTATATTAATGATAATAATATAGTTTCTGGTACAGTCATTATTATAGTTTTGTTTACATTCTTTTATTAAAAATAAACATTACAAAAAGCTTTAAGGGGAATATTAAAAACTAAAAAAAACAACTCATCAGGATAAAAAAACAAAGAAAAAAAGACAAAAGTGCATAAAGAAAACAAAAGCAAAAAGGTTTCCAATTTCCTTTGCAGTAAATATAAATGATTGCGAAGTTATTGTTTACTCTGTAATTACAAAAAGCTCACTTTTTTTCTATTATCTATTTTTTTCCTAATTATCAAAGGTTCCCAAATCTTAAGTGCATTTTCTTTTCTGTTTCATGCAAAAAGTATACTGGTATAAGGGTTTTTCAGTCAGCCATATCTAGATACTGCCCTTTCTCTAATCAAGGAAGGAAATTAACCATCTCTGCAGGTTCCATCATCTTTACCAACCATTTCTCTGTTGTGGGTAGCACTGAATGTTTCAACTTTTGAACATATAATTTCTCTGTAATAATCATATATAAAAACAAAGTTCCATGGCTTTTTCCCTTGTTTCTTTGTCCATTAATCCCAAAAGATAAGTTTCTGGTTTCAATTATACATTCATAGTTATCTTCTGAATTAATATATTTATTTGTATCCAAAAATTTGTTTTTACATATCCACCATATATAATAAACTATCCCTTTATGTTGTTCACATTTCTGATAAATATTTGAAATAACTTCAATTACATTCTACACAATTTTTCTGGTGAGAAATGCCAATGATACAGCATTTCATGAGAATTCTCTTTAAGGCTAAAATATAATGTAAATTCTCAGAGGTGGGCTTCACAATATTTAACAACTGGTTCACCTAGTGCAGAACCAAAAATGTGCTTGCGCGTGGCTTCAAACATGGCAATTTCATGTGCGCGGCTTCCAGCACAGCTTCTTGGACAGCCGTAAGTAGCAGTGAGTAGAGCGGGTGAGGTGTGGAAATCAGCTGGGCTGTGTGGGTGGGGTGAGCAAGCCAGAGTGTGAGATATATAGGATGGGATAGCACCGGGGCAGGTGGATGGGCCCAGCCAATGGTCATAATTACCAGTATGGGCAAACCGGTCCGACCAGGCAGCAGCCCACCTCTGTAAATACTGTATAATGTAGTCCTTTCAACCATCTATTTTCCCATTAATCCATTTGTATGTTGAGATGAAAAATCTTAGCCCATTTTATCTTACATTATTTCTTGTTCTTCTTCTAACTCATATTTCCACAAAAGTGTATACATTTTGGCCATAACATGCACATCATTTGTGCATAATTCTATTTCAAACTCAGTCTTACATTATTCAAAGACATATTTTAACCACTTTAAACCTTCCTGATAACTGCATATAAGAAAACCATTGGAAACTCATTAGATAGATCTGCTTAGGCCCATAGAATGAAATGATTACATAGGGAAGATAATGGGGTTCTTATATCAATCCTAGTATATAGAGCTGAAAGCTGACTTCATAGGCATGCAGATGTCCGGTATCAGTTTCACTGATCATAAATCTAAACAAGATATGTTTAGTCTTTCAGTGCAGTACACACCAAGTTTTTTTTAAAATTAAGCTTAATTTAAAGAGATTAAAAAACATTCCGATATGTAAATGAACAAACTCTTTTATTCTGCACTATTTTATTAAAATGTCCCATGTAAACAATTTCTACATTAGTTGATTCCCCTTCAGTGTCCCTATATAACAAAATAATAGATTATACATAACTTTACATATTTATTTGGCCCTCTAGTGAATTTTCTATGCTCTTAACTTAAAAAAAATCATCAGAGACTCAATGAACAAGTACACATTAAAGTTGTCAATTGTACCGCAGTAACTGAAAATCCCTGATATTTTTATCTGCATTAATCTTTGAAAGCTATTCCAAAACTACTGGAATTTCTCCATCATCCACAATGAGCATGTGAAGAATTCCTTCCCTTCTCTTTCCACTGCTGATAGCTTTGATATAACAGTTGTGCTTTCCAATACTGAAATGTGTTTCTGTCCCATCGTCTACAAATTCACCCTGGCAAAAAAAATAAAAATAAAAAAGCCATTTAATGATTCACAAATGTTTCAGACTTTTACTAGCTATCAAGAAGAGCCGAGGTGGCGCAGTGGTTAAATGCAGCACTGCAGGCTACTTCAGCTGACGCAGTTCAGCGGTTCAAATCTCACCGGCTCAGGGTTGACTCAGCCTTCCATCCTTCCGAGGTGGGTAAAATGAGGACCCGGATTGTTGTTGGGGGCAATATGCTGTGTAAACTGCTTAGAGAGGGCTGAAAGCCCTATGAAGCGGTATATAAGTCTAACTGCTATTGCTATTGCTATTGCAAAGTATTTTACTTTCAATAAAGAATGAAACATTACAGCATACAAATAGGACAGCAAGCTCTACATTTAATTTTTCCGTGACTTCAGGAATTTCAGAAAAGATGCTAATGCCATTGGAACTGAAAGCATGCAAATATTTTATCTTTTTATGTACTGTATGAAAGGTTCCATTTGTCTTGTAGTAAGAGTTTAGCTGTGCAAAAGGTTGGGAAAGAGCAAACCACCTATTGCACTTGTGAGGTGTTTTGATCTGGAAGTCGATGCCAAGCTTTTGGAAAAGGGAAGTTCTTTCCTTTTTGTAAGAGGCATAAGCATTCTAGAACATGCATGGATTTTTGTATTTTTTCCACCTCCCAGCTATTAAACTAAGTGATAAAAGGAGCTCCGGCAGCAGCAAAGGTAGTGGGAGCTTTTCAATACTAATGTATGATTTTGATTTTCTGCTGAAGGAATGAAGAAAACTCAACTTAGGGAAAGAACTTGTGAGACATGTCATGACGATTCTCAGTTATCCAGGTCATGGTTGTCCCAAAGGTGTTTTTTGAAGAGGCAACTGGACTTTCTGTTTTTTATTCGAAGACATTTCGCTCAGCTCTGAAGAAGCTTCTTGGATGAGAAGCGAAACGTCTTCAAAGAAAAACCAGAAAGTCCAGTTGCCTCTTGAAAAAGCGCCTTGTTGTGAGTCAGTAAAGATGAGTTGGAGTTTTGAAAGACTAAGAGGAAGAGAAGGAGGAATAGAAGCCTAGTTAAAGAAAAAAGAGTTTTCAGGGCAGGGCCACATGAGGACTTTTGTAAGCCCCATACATTTTTGTTTTGGTGAGGCCTCTTCTTCCATAAAAACAATAATATTAAAAATTACATTCCATAGGAATTTCAATATTTTCTGGTTTGTTTGTTTACAAAGAAATGGAATAAATAATATATATTATTCTATAATAATAATAGGTGGTGGTCAGTTAGTTATGTCTGTCATACATAGTTACAAACAAGATTTGTTGTTCACATTTTGTGAGTGTCTTGCCTGTTTCTATTAAAAGGTGGTAAAATATTTTTTTTTTAAAGGCACCAAAATAAGTAACCTCTACTTCACTTTTTTCTGATTTTAAAAAAACAACACCACATTAAAATATTTTTGTGAGCCCTTTGCCCATTATGCCTAATGAATAAGTCAATCTTGCTTTCAATAGTGAAACAAAGACTTATTTATTTACCATACTGCAGTGGAAAAAAAAGAGAGATACAACCATTTGGAAGAGCCAAGGGTTACTTCCAAATGACTCAACTCATTCAACAGAGATGCATTGTTCAAACTGCACTACAAGGAAAGCAGTAACCGGATGACAAAGGGCTGGCAAGAGAAAGGGAAATGAAAGTGAAATTTCATAGTGGCTGAGGTGAACAGAGCATCACTTAAGAGATAGTTATCAATTTGGAGACACAGGGCAACAGTTTGAGTCATAGCTTATTTTGTTCCCAGACTGAAAGCTGAGATATGGAAACAGAAAGAAGCCTGGTAAAGATAAAGTTGCACTTTTGCATTTGCTGAACAGCACTAACTCCTGCATGAAAATATACAACTCCGCTTACCTTCTCTGTTGTGTCTGTTATCATCTAAAAATGAACCTGTAACACCATCATGATTGTTAGTTTATGTCTTATTTTATATTGGTGCTGCTGCAGAACTATAACTTCCACCATCCACAGCCAGTAGGACCATTGGCAGAGTTGCCCAAAGTGTAGTTTTTCAGCAGCATTTGGAAGGCCACAGGTTTCCTAACCCTCTATAGCTCATGATTGCTTGTTAAGCTTGTTAAGCTATCTCAATTATTTTGTCTTAATTGTCAATTTCTTGGGGGAGAGAGAATGATGTTATAAAATAGCTTCTCTAATTTATGACTTAATTATTTTCAACTAAAATAATCTACTTAAATTATGTTTTTGATGTTACATACCGCTGTCTCCACTTTTTTACCGTTACACCAGACATCCATCGTATCTTTCTCTGGAAAAAAAATCACAAAAGAATTGCTACATAAATTATTGCATTTCTAATTGCATTCTGGTCCAGATGAAATCTCATTATATGCATGATAGTTCTCTAATAATGCTGTTCATATAGTTACAATATAGTGCTTTTGCAGAAAATAAAAAGTTAACAGCAAACCTATAGAATATTAAGCGGCCACAGAATGCTGATGGAAAAGAATCCAATGGAAGGAAGAATAGAATGAATGGTGTCCTTAAGAGAAATGCACTAAACTGTAACAATCACAAGTCCTGCTTATTCTATAACTGCAAGAATGTTAAATGTCTATCAATTTAATACAAAATAGATTCAATCTGAAAAAGGACAATCATTTATTATTTATTATTATTTATTTATTATTAAAATTTGTATGCTGCCCACTCTCGGAAGACTCAGGGCGGCTTACAAATACGAAGGGGGGAGGGGATAAAAAAATAAAAACAACAATTAAAAATTCAAGAACATTCATAACTTAGGATGGGGCTGGATAATTCAACAGCCCCAGGCCTGCCGGAACAGCCAGGTCTTGGTTGCTTTGCGGAAGGCCGGAAGGGTCCGGATCTCAACGGGGAGATCGTATGTAAAAGATGCCTTTTGAATGTAACTTGTCAATTTGTAACTTGTCAATTAAAAAAAATACTTTAAAAACTGTATTTCTGAAAAACTCAAAACTTCCTAAAAGGTTTGACCTTTTGAAAATTGGGGTGGCTACTGAAACTGGGGGTGTACATTGTTATTAAATCTATAGCTGATGCCAGTTTGACAGAAGGACTTTGATTCTGGTAGTCTTTCTGAAATTAGAAAGGCTTCTACCATTTGCAAATTGTTAGAGAATGCTAATAGATATTATGGTAGTAGATACAGGTTGACAGTAGACACAGATTTATTTACAAAATGCTATTATCTTAAAACCAGCTTGTTAGCCAGTATCCTTAATTCTCATAGTTATGCCCATAGCCACGTAAATGTCTAACATGATGTTTTCTGGATTTATAGTAATGCTATTTTCTATTTTGTTATACAATAATCACATTGTCAACAATACAGAGTTAAAATTCAATGTAAACCGATGCTAGTAAATTACACACTACTTATTAAAACTTAACACTAATTTAACAAATCCTTTTCGGATCCAAGAGATCTTGTAGTAATCACAGAGTATCTCCAAGATAAATGTATATAATTAATCTGATTATGTGCCATGAAAACATTGTCAACTCTAAGCCACCACACATATTGATTTTCTATAAAGATTCCCTTAGTCTTTATTTCAAATAAATAGGTTGTAGCATTTATATTGGAAAATACCAAAGTATAATTAAAATAGTACATGAACCATGCAAGAGACTTCAGAAAACTAACATACCTAAAACAACTCTAAAATCTGTACCATCTAGGTTTAATACCCAAGTGTTTGTTGTTTTTGACCGATTCTCCAGATATTTCTTGAGACTTTTTCCATCTATTTCCAGAGTATATTCATATGCAAATCCACTGACTGCATCAATATTAATAGTAGCCTTTGTGTTAGCTGCTCCAACTGTAAATGTCTCTTTTCCCACTAATTTAAACATCCATTCTTTTCTTATTATTTCCTAAGGATGAAAAAAGACATACAAACATATTTTTGCTTCAGTTCTGAAAACTTGATTGCCATAATACCAGTCAACTTTTTTGTCTTATTATTACAAAAAATGATCAAATCAGATGTAATCAAAAGATTTATTATTCTTTCATCCTATTGTATGGTAATATTTCCTTAACAAGAACATAGAATCCAAATCACAGGAAGTAATTATTAAATGTTATTTAATAATTAAATGCTGATTGTATCCCATTTCTGAGACACTTTACACTTCAAAAACAAAAACAAACTGAAAAGCAAGTTCAGAGGATGTTTACTAACATGGTGAATTATAATGGTTTGTTGCAGTCAGTGATATGTTTAGACTGGATTTGGCATTTTACCTACCTAACAAGTCCTTCTAAGGATATAGAATGAATAGATGTTTGATGGTGTTAAAATACTCTCTCAGTATTAATATTAGTATAGTTATTTTTAAAATTCCTAGCACTTTCCCACACAAGCAGAGTCCAGAAAGTAAACTCTATCAGGAAAGATAAATGACCTGTAAATAGGTTTAAATAACTGAGGGGAGACATGATGGCAGACTTCAAATATCTCAGGGATTGTCATACAAATAACTATCTCCTAACAGGACTGTATGAATTAAAACTACAAGAATAAGATTAAGCTAAATGCCAAGATTCTAGAAATTGTCTGTCAGGCCTACAGCCAGTTCTTTTTGGGATCTTTGGCCTGCCACACTAATATTCTATTCTACTCTGCTGTTTCATTAGTGGGGAATTAGGAGGGGGAATAGTAAGGATTAGAATATGATGTTGTCAAAATAAAATTCCTTTCTAGAAT